CATACGTTGCACAAAAACAACAGTTATGTTTGCAAAAAACACATTTTAGGGTTACTTTATAGCACAGTAGCGAACACAACTAAACACACTATTTGTGTGGATCATTGCAGTTGGGAGCTTTTGAAAGTGTACATAAGAGGGCAGGATGGTGATCATGAGGATCAGCAATACCAAGAAACTAACCCTACATGCAGAACAACTGTTTGAAAATCGTAATACGCTTTCATTCTGACAATGGGATTAGCTGCCAGCTGTGGCTAACCATACACTTGATTAACTGGTCATCACCAAAGGTTGAGAATGTCTGCAAGCACAGAGATCATTGTTAGGAGGATTGAGTTGTGTGCTAATGAAGAAATAATGATCTTAGAAAAAAAACTAAAGAACATTTTCAAACAGCTGAGGGTACTGCAGTAAAATGTGTTCATGAGATGAATCAATCTAATCCTGCGGACAAACCTTCAGTGATCTCTGTTTCTTTGATATTTTACCTCAGATTAAATGTCAGGCATGATGTTGGGGGGTTTACTGTTTGAGCTTGTTTAGTCTAACTGGGACAAAAATTGAAGAAGGACCAAGGAATACATATCACATTTCTTAGTTTGCGTAAGCCTGTTACATATAAAATGCATTGAAGTCACACAAAAAAAAAAAAAAAAAAAAAAAAAACATCTTCTGTGAAGTTAAGGCATTGCAAAAGTTTTAAACGCACCTGAACAGAGAAAAATCTGGCAGGTTGTGGAGCCAAAACTTGCTCAGTAATATATATTTACATAATTTTCTTTTTACAGATGTGTTTTTGCATTTTCAAGTCAATTGTAGACTTGTACAGCAAAGCCTATACTAAGGGTGATTCCAAGGTATACTGACAAATGCTGAATACTCAGATAATCAAATTATGTCACATTTTCCCATTTATATACTTGCAGTATAAATATATGTATTGCACCCTTATTCCTAGACAAGGGGTTCACTCACAGTGTAGCCTCAGAATATGGCTGTAAATAGAGAAAAGCAGTAGCCAAAGCAAATTGAGTTTGCTCTCTGTCGATCTAACCACCCTGCTTAGGAGCCTTGGCAGGTCTGCCCAATCAGTATTGTGTTATGCTAATCACAGCGTTCTATGGGATGATTCATCTGAGTTGAACAACTAAGACGGCGGCTCATTTGAAACAGCTTTGGCATCAACTTCGGACTATGTAAACTTGGACTCTTCTTTGAGTCAAGAGCAGATAGAGATACTTAAGTCATATATTCAGAAAAATTATGTATTAGCGTCTTCTTTGACAGTGTATGGCAGACTGCCCTGTTGACTGACATCCGTAGCGGTGAGTATGTCATGCTGTTTGTTGTCCAATAGCATGCAGAGACTAACTGAAAGTCAAGCATTGACTCCACCCTACGACTGAGCTCTGTCTACGGCTTGTGGCCAGACTATGTACTCACATATGACTTGCCAGGCTAAAGAAACCTAACCCTAAACCCACATCATCACAAAATGTACCCCCACATGTGTCTTTGCTCCCTCCACTGAGGATACATGCTGGTGGCTTTTACCTCTTAAAATGCAGGGGTCTCATTTATCAAACATTGTGTAGAATCCTTACTAAAACCGTACTTAAGCTCAGCAAAAATAAATGTACTTACGCGAAGTAGGTTTGTGATCTATCAAACATGGAGTACGCACAGCTGCACACAATCTCCGCTTCATAAATCAGAAAATATCTAGAAAGGTTCTCAGCTGCTGTTTAGTCACATCCCTCCCTCACCACACCCACTTACTGCCATAAATATTCAATGCAAAGGGCCTTGTGGATCTCATGTATATACATAAGCCGGCTGTTGCAGCGCTCCGCCAATGACATGGCGACCGTAGATCAAGGCAGATCAAGGAAGCGCAATTTCACAGAAGCAGAAGTTGAGGTACCTGTGGGTGAGGTGGAGAAATGAAAGGAAGTGCTTTTGCAAAACAAATAAGAGAAAATCCACAGAGTGGCACAGCGTTGCTGAAGCTGTCAATGTTGTGAATTCTTCGGAGAGATCTGTGGCCGATATAAAAAAATGGTCCAATCGGGATTCGATCCCCAGACTCCCGGATGAAAGTCACGCGCGCTAACCAGTCAGCCAAACAGAGATCTTCCCTGTACGAGTAGCCAGGGCGCATGATCAATCGGGTCACAGTGACAGGACACACACACTGTCACAGATGCATGACATTCTGCCTCAATCTGTCCCCCTGCTGATATTCCGCATTCTGCGCTTCAGGTTGTGTGCGCGTTAGTGTGTGCGCATGTGTGTGTGTGTGTGTGGGGGGGGTCTTGTTCTGTCTGAAAATGAAGCAGTACAAGTGATAATGCGGCAGGATTTCATAATTCACTGCAGGTGCTCTCGATGTCCAAAATGCGCGTAAGCAAGACCCTTAGTCAACTTAAAGTTGCGCACATTTTCCTGCTAAGTTTTCTTTCATAAAACCCAAAGTTTGCGTGGAAAGTTGCTTACGCAGTTTTCCGACCCCATTTTGTGCGTAAGCAAGCTTGATAAATGGTCTGCACTGTGGATAACCAGTATGAATGTGATGGAGTCGTAGGATTGATCTTGGGTCCCGGCAATGAATGCTGCTGTTGCATCATAAGGCAAGACACTTGAAGGTTGGTTTATGCTTGACGCGTCCGCGAGGTCCACGTGGCGAAATTGCGTCATTTTATCAACCACGCCCCTCCACCGCGCCTCCGCCCAAAATTTCCGCAACGCGCACCTAAGAAATTTTCTAACCACGTGGATGGTCGGACGCGGAAAAACATGGCGGACCGGCAAGAACTAGTATGGCAGAGGTTCGTAAATACAAACATTTGTATGATTCAGCTCTCAAAGATCACCGTGATCAACATGTTAATAATTCTTGGGAGAGAAATAGCTCGCACTGTCGGGAAAGATGAGGACGCTGTTAAAAATGCTGAAATGCCATGTTGTAAACAGTAATTTCTACTTCTACTACGGTGTAGTGTTGGATGCATGCTGTAGAGCTCCATGCTGCCCCGTTCAGTTTGGGAGAATATTGGCTCACCGCAGAGACAAGCCGCATGAACCATAAACGCTGCGAGTTGTGAAGCGCGTTCCATCCACGAGCCGCATCACCAAGCGGAAAGTAAATGCGTCAAGCATAAACCAAGCTTAAGCCAGATTGCCTGCTGGTGGTGGACGGTGGGCCTAGTGACGCCAGTGATCAGAGGCCTAGCCTCTCTCAGTGCGTCCAAGGGCAGCCGTGGCTACATTGTAGCTCATCACAACTAGGGAGTGAATGTGTGTGTGTGTGCATGTGTGAATGATCGATTGTGTTGTAAAGAGCCTTGGGGGTGCTAAGACTCTAGGAGGCACTCTATCAAATAAAGGCAATTACATTGTGTGGTGATGTTCCCAAACAAATTCACAAAGACCACCAGACCTGACCAAAGCCGCATTAGGAGTCAGACCCCTGTGTGTTTGTCATGATGGTGGTACCTACAGAGCTTAGTGTCTCACCCATAATGTTTGCTTTAATGAATCAACACTGAAAACCTCAGTTTTAAAATTCTCTGTGTCCATTGGTGCTGCCAGAGCACACAAACATTTGTTTTGCTGATTCACTCAATCTGTCACACCTCTTTGAGTGCTTCGTGGGTGTGGTTTGGTTTGCACATCACCCCATGACTAAAATAATACTCTTTATCTGAAACATGACTCACGACGGGGCAGTAAAAGATTCAGGAAATGCTCCAACAGGTGACTTCAGGTCACAATGAAGTGTCTCTCAGGTGGGGATGCACTGTGGCATGAGGTTCGGGATCCGGTTTCTACTCCCTGTGGGACCGGGACTGGTTCCCAGAGGCTGACTCTGTAGAACAGACGCGGCCAGTAGGCATGAATGGGGACGCGCTGAAGGTTGGAGGGCTTTTATGAATGAGCCGGCGTCACGCCACTGCAGCGCAAACATCCCCCCCTCCCCCAACCAACATCTCACCCCGCCCCCCTCCGGTGCCCTTCGCCCTTCAACCCCCACCAGCAGATATGCAAACATCTCCAGACTGTAGTCTGCTCACATTTACGGACATTTATTTAAAAAAATGTAATAAAGGTGTGCTCTGCCACGTGCCCATTCTGGACTCGGCTAATTAAGGCCGCAGGTCTCCACATTCTAGGCTTTAACTGGGGCCTCTGTGGGCCTGCAGCACTTTACAACAGCAAACACGATCCGTCCGCTGATCTGCTTTAAACGAGGAAAACAAACAAACAAACAAACAAACAAACAAAAAAAACAAACACCGAGGCTCAGCCCAATCGGGATAACACGCTTTTTCATTTCAAAGAAGGCCGTCGCTTCCATTCGGTGTGTTTTTTATGAATGGAGCGCAGTAGGCTATGCAAATGAGGGCGATTGAGAAAGAGATGGCGGATGAAGCATATCGGATATCTCATATCCTGTGAGACTTCCCCCTTCGGTTGGAAGCAAACACACACAGATGTGGCCAAACAGCGAGCGCAGGAGAGAATAAAAATTACAGTAGTTAAAATGTTTTGCCAGATAAACGGTGCGCGTGCTCAACCCCATGTATGTGCGCGCGTGTTTACAGAAATAAAATACTAGTTGCGCGTGTTTTAGTTTCCAAGTTACGCTGAAACAGGCCTGCTGCTCTCTCGCTTCAGATCCTTTCAGAAAATGTTTCCGACCCACCCACGCTTACTCCCCTCCTCCTCCCACTCCTCTCCTTTCTCTCTTCGCCTCCTCTAGACTGCATTCTCCACCGATCTGGAGACTCCAAAGGGGGGGGAAAAACACGATTAAAATCCAAACAAAACGCTTTCACCCCTCTGCACTGTCAATGCTTCATAAAAACACAAGATCCGAGGAAAAGGCACCGAGACGATCTTTAGAAAGGGGGAAACGCGTTCTGGGTGAAGTTGTGGAGCCAACTTAAGAACCGTCAGAAAACGACACAGAGAAGAAGGATCTGTACAGTACTCACTCGTTCGGGTGTGTTTCTTCTATCATTTTTTCGTTTCACCTCAGGTATTGGACCAAGGCGGTTGCATACTTTTCACTCGTCATTCTTCCACCTCCGATTCCGCATAAATCCCCCTTGAGTGTGCGCCTTTTGTGCGAGTGTCGGCTCTCTGGCTTTGCCCTCGACTGGCTGCGACTGCCTTCTTCTTTTCCTCAGCTCTCCCTTCTCCTTCCTGCTGGAGCCACGCTGGTTCTTCTAGATCCAAAGCCCCCCTGCTTGCCTTGAACTTTAATACCCAAAGCGCGCGCACACACACACACAGCATATAGCCTATATTGACAATTTTGGTTGCCAAATCCAGCTTCTGATTCTTCCTAACCCCCCCCTCCTCAAACACACACGCATACACACACAAGGCACCAAGATCCGTTTTCAGGTCCTAAGGCGCATGTTTTCACCTATTCTGTTTTCAGTTGTGCGTAAAAAGCGCGTCGTCGCTTGTTTGTTGCCGAGGGGTGGCCCCGCTAGAGCCCCATCTCTCTCTACTCCATGTTGGATTGCAGGAGGCCGAGCAGATCCAACGACTCTGGGGAAGGGAGGAGGGAGGAGGAGGTGGAGAGGGGGAGCGCTGGGCGGAAGCGGTGACGTCGTGCTTCAGTTTGGTGTAGGGCTCAAGACGGCTGCTAGCCGTGGTGGCCCCCAACCTTTTACTGCCCCTTTCAAATCCGGACGTGGCACCTTCTTATCCGAATACAGCAAATTCATGTTTGGCTTTTAAAGAGACTCCGAAGGAAACACGCTGCAAGTCACGTGAATCTGCCCAGCAAGGTTACTAATAATAATCTAATTGAGTTTAAACGAAAAACTCTCTAAACGGCGATTGCTGGTAAAACTGAAGTAATCTGAATGAATTTTCCGTCTAAATCTTAACGTTTTACCAGCATGTCTGATAATCCTCTTTGTAGTGTTTCTGAAAAGCCGATCCGGACTGAGCTCCTTAAAATCTGTTGATCTAATGAAAAGGGCAAGTTTGAACATACGCTTTTGTTTGCAATGGTGCTTCAATATTTGTGCTGTTACACCCAAATAGATGCCAGCTTTTAAAATGAATAATTTTTCTTTCCAGGTTTGTTTGTGGAACAGAAAACCTTCTCAGGTTAAAACTGTGGTTGCACAGCGCCCTCATCTGGTGACTAGTACGTCTTACAACAAATAAACAGCTTTTCCGTTAATACTACTTGTATGCAAGGGATACCTTGCAACTTTTTAAAATGTTTATTGAGCCATATGTGCTAAAATGACCCTTTACAGCCAGGGTTGATGAAAGGCCACTGCAGCCCCTATCCCCCTGTGGCCAGAACATTCTACTTGCAACTGCAGACTGGCAGGACCTCTGTTGGGACCACCGACATACATGTACTGGACAATGGGTTTCCATAGACTCCAATAACACCTTTTTGAAGAAAAATGGGAGGTGGCCACCATCGCCATTTTGACAGTGTCACAGGTTCCGTCAAGCCCAGACAATTCCAAAAAAGGGAAGAGAGGAGGAGCTGAGGGTGGGGCTGTAAGGCTGGGATCAACTGACGACACCCGGTCGAACTAGCTACAAGCTAACCTTAAGATAACCCAAATCTAATGCGGAGGTGGGAGGTAAGCTAACGGAGGTAGCAACCTAGCTACAACTAGAGTTAACTGTGCACAACACCAGAGCTTCTGAGTCAGAGATACGCCGGGCTGACCGCTGGGTAAAACCGGGTGGAACACAGAGGTCTCCGAGAGCTTCACAAGCCAGCAGCCGCACAGCAGACAAGCGCCGCTGCGATTTGAGATGCGCAGAGCTGCTGCTGGGAGAACCGGGTGGAAAGGTTTCCATCCCAGAGCTCCACAAGCCGGCAGCCCGCTCAGCAGACAGAAGCCGCGATCAGACAGAGATGCGCCGAGCTGCGGGGAGGGGAGAACGGGTGGAAAACATTGGTCTCCCGAGAGCTCCACAGTTCCCTCTAATTTGAAAGATAATAGAAAGAAAACGATCTTTTATTTGCCTCTCAAGATAAAAATTACGAGGCGCTTCACAAAAACAAAAATGTAAAATATAAAAAAGTAGGGGTGTCCCTATACAACTTTTTCACTTCCAATACCATACTGATATTGCAGCCGTCAATATTAACCAATATCAATCCAATATGATATCAGCACAAATCATACGTACTTTTACCTATTTCATAGTGTGGAAGGCATAAAACGCTTGGTCAAGTGATATTACTCAAATAGAAAACAAAAGCCAGCAACAGTAAGTATAAAAAACTGACCAATTTTTTATTAACCTTTGGTTGCATAAATGTGAAGAGCTGAGGTTAGGGACATAAACAAACAAACAAAAAAAAACACAAAATTGTTCATTGACCAACTACTACAAGTTAAGGGTCTAAAGTAAAAATTTCACACACTGCAAAAATCCTCATGCAATTGTGGCAAGGTGGAGAAACGAGGGCCCGGGCGGGATTCGATTCCCAGACTCCCAGGTGAGAGTCGCGCACTGACCAGTCAGCCAAAGGGACATCCCCTTGGCCAAAGAGCCAGGGTGCATGATCAATCGGGACACTGTGACAGGATGCTCACACTGTTACTTCTTCCCCCTCTTTCCACAAGCACATCCTCGTGCTCCAACGCAGGTTGCCACACATTTCACATCCATGGACCTACTTGACAGTACTACATGGATCCTGTTCGTGACGCCAAATGTGGCAAGGTGGATAAACGAGGGCCCGGGCGGGATTTGATCCCCAGACTCCCTGGTGAGAGTCACGCGTGCTAACCAGTCAGCCAAAGGGACATCCACTTGGCCAAATAGTCAGGGTGCATGATCAATTGGGACACTGTGACAGGATGCTCACACTGACACACAATGTTTTGTCATCCTGCTTCAAATGCACGATGATGTTGGACATATTAATCTTCCCCGGTTCTGTTCCACCACGGGAAATTTGTGCATAACAAGTGTTGCACTGAGCCAAACTGTCTTTCTCGGACTTTAACGAAAAATACAACCACATGGCCGACATTATTTCTTGCTACTTTGCTAGCACACACTGTTCTGATCATGTGGACTTTGCATGCTGGATCTGGGCACCGCTGGATAGAATTGCTGGAATGAAATTTAAAGCGGAAGGTACTGCTAATATCAGAGATTTTTGATGCAATTGATATAATCCGATACAGTGTTTTTGGGCCGATATCCGATATCAGTATCGGAACAGGACATCCCTATAAAAAGATTTAAAAATTTATTAAAAATATGTTTAATATGAGAAAAAATGTGAATAAGAATGTAAGGAAAGGGAGAGAGAAAATGAATAGAAAAGGGAAAGGAAACCTCATGAAAATGCTAATGAGGGAGGTGGTCTTTGCTTACAATCTGTCACACAGACCTACTAAAACCATGCACAGGCGCTGCCTATTGGAGCCTATCTCTTTCTACTTTGATTGGAGCTTCTGAAGTGGCCGGCCGCCATCTTGGATGGGTCTCAATTCACCCCCAGTGCATTTAATTGTAGAGGAAGTTGCTTACCCAACTAAAAACACATTTTATTATACTTAATCACTAAATCAAATGTATGTTAGTTCAAATATGAATTTAATTATATAAAATACACATAAAAATAAAATACAAAATCCCAACAGGTAGGCTAGAAAAGTCCCAGAAAAGGCTCCCACGTGATCTGTTTTCAATAAAGTGCCGGCTGTTGTAACCTTGCTGTATAAAACATGGGCATATTTTGCTCACCCTGCATAGGTAGCTTAAGTCACGCCCATCTACTTGGACCATGGGTCCCCGGAAGAATGTAAAAATTAATGCAAGTCAATGGGGCTTAAAATGCTATTTTCTAATTAAGCTTGTTATGTGCCATGGATTTCACGTATGGTGTCGGTGATTTTTAAAGAAAAAAATGTTTATAGCAATTTTTATACCAAGAAAGAGCTTATCTTCGAATGGGGTGACGCTATTTTAGATTTTGTGTGACAGTAAGTCCAGGAAAACAAATGCGCTTCACAAAAGTGACAAAATCAAACCAGACATGGAGAAAAACAGAGGGAAAATGGCTGTAAGTTCAGCTAACTTCAAATCCTTCTTTCAAGAGGAAAGAAACACCATTAATCTGGCCATTTGTTTAGTAGCAGCTACTCTAGGAGAGAAGATTCTGTGGTGGCGCCATATATGCGATGATGTCTATTATTTGTAGCCATGCTAATTACGAACCTTTGCAAGCCAATACATTTCAAAGTACATGACTGGTGTGGTTGAAACACACTTCTCATTACTTTTCATTTAAATATAATTTATGTGTGATCCAGGGCGTAATGCAAATCGCACTGGAAAATAACTGTTTTAGCCCCACTGACTTGCATTTACTTTTTTGTTCATCTGGGATGAGCTGAGCTGTCGTCTGTGTCTGTCAGTCTGTCTGTCTATATCTATCTATCTATCTATCTATCTATCTATCTATCTATCTATCTATCTATCTATCTATCTATCTATCTATCTATCTATCTATCTATCTATCTATCTATCTATCTATCTATCTATCTATCTATCTATCTATCTATCTATCATCTATCTATCTATCTATCTATCTATCTATCTATCTATCTATCTATCTATCTATCTATCTATCTATCTATCTATCTATCTATCTATCTATCTATCTATCTATCATCTATCTATCTATCTATCTATCTATCTATCTATCTATCTATCTATCTATCTATCTATCTATCTATCTATCTATCTATCTATCTATCTATCTATCTATCTATCTATCTATCTATCTATCTATCTATCTATCTATCTATCTATCTATCTATCTATGACCTCTTAACACCTCTTATGATGAATAATATAAATGGAAACCGTGTTCCCTCACCCGAACGTGGGCCACTGGCAAGGCCGGATTAACCATATGGGCAACTGGGCAATTGCTCAGGGCCCACGAACTCTAAAGGGCCCAGGGCAGCAAGGGCACGAGCAAAATACTGTATCTGTAATCTCCCGCTTTATATTAAACTAGGGTGACCGTACGTCCTGTTTTCCCCGGACATGCGTTGTGCCGCTCTCTGTGCTCTCTGCTCAAAAGAGTCCATAAATGATGTAATATAGGTAGAAAACTTTTTTCCGCCTCCCCTGAATGTGTAGAATATCCAACTCCCCCATAATTCGATCCCTGCTCCTGGATGAAAAGCCGGACATGTTCTGCTTTCTTTCCCTCATCTGTGATCTGTTGACATGCTAGTTCTGTTGCTACAATGAATTCATCATATGGTATAGGGCTGCACAATATATCGAAAAATTATCGTCATCGCGATAACGGGACGTGCGATAGGCCCATCGCAAAACACGTCAAAAACGGCGATAAATGTTTGGTTCAAACATTTCCATCCGTGTCATACATCAGCTTTTTGTAAACCAGTTCTGTTTTTTACGTGGAAGTATTATTTGACCAATTAAATGTAGTCCTTCTGATATGCGGCCAATCAGATGGTTCCATTCACGTAATACGCCCGCCCCCTACACAGACCCTTTTGGAAAGCAACACCCGAACAGAGTTTGTGGCACTGTTCCCTT